TTAAAGTGTCATACTTTAAACTTTTACAGAACACGGCTTTAACACCCTCACACTGCACATATGTGTCCATGCTGGCTGAAGTCTCTGTGCTAAGAGTGTACTTGCTGCACAATCCCAGCGCAGTAACTAAGCTGTCATAGACAGCTCCTGGTCTCTGGTTATGAGCAAGAGTTAGAAGGACAGGCTCGATCATGTGCCCAGGGCCGCAGATATGGGGGTGGGCAAGGTTAAAGATCCTTTTGTAGTTCTCAGTTTTATTTGCCTTTTTTTTTCATCTATTCTGATTTATCTTCTTTGAGATAGAGCCAGATGCTTACATAAGTTGAAGATCTTCGCAATATTATTGTTTCTGTAGAGTGTGCAGCTTAACCCTGCTAACTTGGCAAAAATGAACAGTGAATCAGCCATCCTGACTTGACCATCCAACCCAACCTCTCCAGACAGTTGGGCTCTTTAGGTTTTCTGATATAATGGTTTGTATTTATGGGGGATAAGGATATTACGCGATGCATTAAAAAGGTTTCCTCTAAATCAGGGATCTCCAAACACTAAAACAAAAGGCCAGTTTACTGTTATTCAGACTTTAGGGGGCTGGGCTGGGCTGTGACCACTGGGAGTAGTAAATGCCCCAGCGTCAGTGGGAGTAGACAAGGTTTCAGTCTTGGTGGTCAGTAGGAGTAAATAAATCACATAGCACCTGTGGTCAGCTGGAGGAGGAATGGTACCCCATCATTGGTGTCAGTGGAAGGAATAGTGTCCCACTGTTGGTGTTAGTGGAAGGAATGGTGCCACATTGTTGGTGTCAGTGGAATGGTGTCCGATCACTGGTGTCAGTGGGAGGAATAGTGTTCCACTGTTGGTGTCAGAGGAAGAAATGTTGTCCCATCATTATTGTCAGTGGTAGGAAGAGTACCTTGTATCAGTGGGAAGAATAGTCCTCCCAAGGGCCAGATAAAGGCAAACAAAGTGCAGCATCCAGCCCATGGGCCACATTCTGGAGTCCACTGCTTTAGATCAACTGTAGATTAGGGTTGCAAGGTGTTTTTGTTTATTTTTTTATACTGGCTATTGGCTGCAACTCCTCCTTCACTTGCTCACCTCAGGCATTAGAGGCTGTGACTGCACAACCTATGTGCTGACCGCTCTACCCAGCTCCTTCCCCCAGCACCACAAACAGCAAATTAAATTAAGCCAGCACTTGAGACTTGATCAAGCTGATCAAACTCTTCACTTGGTTCTTGGTGGATTTTCAGTTAGCAACAGTAGGTGTGTGACAGTTTAGTTTGATAGGATAGGTGCACAGGCAGTGCAGTAGTGGTTGAAGGGGGGAGGATGCACAGGTCAGGGCTGGGACTAGGGGTGGGCAGGAGGGACAGCTGCCATTAAAGCAGAGAAGCAAACGGAGCAAATAATAGATGCACATTGGTACTGCCATTCTATGGCATGCATCAATAGTGGGGGGGGAGGGGGGCGCAATTCTGGATCCTTGCCCTGGACACTAGATGACCCTGTCCCGGTACTGGCACAGGTATCTGCAGTTGAACAACAGGTATGTGGGGGGTAGAGTAGTGACAGAAGTATGCAGAGGATACATTGGTGGAATAGGTGTATGGAGTGAGATGTGTGGGGTATGCAGTGATGAAACACGCCCGAGGGGTGCAATGGTGGTACAGGTTATTGGGGAGTGCAGAAAGCTGCAATTGTGGAAGAGAGGTGCGAAGCATTAATAATTAGGGGCATTTCCCTAGCTAAGGGCCCTTCAGCTATTCTCAAGGAGAAAATACAAGAAATCATTTTTGATTCACCTAATAAAAACGCATGCAAATGTGTGCATCCCTAGCAACTGGAAACAGACAAAACCATCTAATAAATGGTTTGCCAAGGTGAATTTTATTATGCCTAAGGAGAATATTCATTGTAAAAAATAAGATGCATGAATACATAAAGACTTGGTTTTATTGGGTCCAATTCAATCTAGAATACCTACACAGCCTGTGAATATAATGGAGAATACTCAATACTCTGACAATCGCACTCTTCCTTCTAGTGCTTTCCTTCCGCTTATCCCCCACCCCCTTCATTTTCCTCTCTCTCCTTTCATTTTTCATAAACACCCTTCACAAATCTTCTGTTTCTTTTCCTTTACTCCAGTGAGCAGCACAGTAAGGATATCACCAAATCCAACTCCAGATTTGAGGAGACTAGCAATCTGAGGCATCAGTGCCAGCTTTGAGGTTGTAGGAACAGGAGAGCCTAGGTGCCCTCACAGAAAGTGCACTCCTCATTTCAAGGGGAATTTGAATCCAAACATAGGATTTGTCAGGGCACAAACTCTATAAAATAGTCCTATAGAAGTCTATCGGAAGCTACTGCACAGATGCAGCCAGCACATAGAAGGCTTTTACAAAAAGATTCAAACAATGCAAGCATCTGGGGTGGGGAAGGGTGGGTATCTTTAGATCATGGAAGGGGAAAAAAAAGGATAAGTGAACTTTGTTTTAACCCTTTTACTGTTGACACCCCAAGTATTATGGCATGGCCTCAGGCTTTCATATAGAAGTGATCACTTATATAAGTCATTAACTGTGCACTTCCTCATGCATTTCCTGGGATTAGCTGTTCCCTCCATGAGACTAGGATATCCATCTCTCAGGATGGAGAGTAGAGGATAAATGAAAAAGTTGTTTCTATATCTCACCTGTGACCAATTCATTTGGAGCACTTCCAAGTTTGGCCAGGAAAAACAACCAATAAAGTAGTCTGTACTCAATTCGGTTGGAGAGAGTGCAGAGAAGGCATTAGGAGCCCAAGAGTGGTCAGTTCAATATATTACGGCTAACATTTCACATGCCCTAGGACTGCCCCCTCTAACACAATTCACCCACTGTCACCCTGGTATACTATTTGGAGATCTAATAGTAGAGTGTGATGTATTCTAGGCAATATTATACAGTCAGGTCCATAAATATTGGGACATCGACACAATTCTAACATTTTTGGCTCTATACACCACCACAATGGATTTGAAATGAAACGAACAAGATGTGCTTTAACTGCAGACTGTCAGCTTTAATTTGAGGGTATTTACATCCAAATCAGGTGAACGGTGTAGGAATTACAACAGTTTGCATATGTGCCTCCCACTTATTAAGGAACCAAAAGTAATGGGACAGAATAATAATCATAAATCAAACTTTCACTTTTTAATATTTGGTTGCAAATCCTTTGCAGTCAATTACAGCCTGATGTTTGGAACGCATAGACATCACCAGACGCTGGGTTTCATCCCTGGTGATGCTCTGCCAGGCCTCTACTGCAACTGTCTTCAGTTCCTGCTTGTTCTTGGGGCATTTTCCCTTCAGTTTTGTCTTCAGCAAGTGAAATGCATGCTCAATCGGATTCAGGTCAGGTGATTGACTTGGCCATTGCATAACATTCCACTTCTTTCCCTTAAAAAACTCTTTGGTTGCTTTTGCAGTCTGCTTTGGGTCATTGTCCATCTGCACTGTGAAGCGGCGTCCAATGAGTTGTGAAGCATTTGGCTGAATATGAGCAGATAATATTGGCTGAAACACTTCAGAATTCATCCGGCTGCTTTTGTCAGCAGTCACATCATCAATAAATACAAGAGAACCAGTTCCATTGGCAGCCATACATGCCCACGCCATGACACTACCACCACCATGCTTCACTGATGAGGTGGTATGCTTAGGATCATGAGCAGTTCCTTTCCTTCTCCATACTCTTCTCTTCCCATCACTCTGGTACAAGTTGATGTTGGTCTCATCTGTCCATAGGATGTTGTTCCAGAACTTTGAAGGCTTTTTTAGATGTCGTTTGGCAAACTCTAATCTGGCCTTCCTGTTTTTGAGGCTCACCAATGGTTTACATCTTGTGGTGAACCCTCTGTATTCACTCTGGTGAAGTCTTCTCTTGATTGTTGACTTTGACACACATACACCTACCTCCTGGAGAGTGTTCTTGATCTGGCCAACTGTTGTGAAGGGTGTTTTCTTCACCAGGGAAAGAATTCTTCGGTCATCCACCACATTTGTTTTCTGTGGTCTTCCGGGTCTTTTGGTGTTGCTGAGCTCACCGGTGCGTTCCTTCTTTTTAAGAATGTTCCAAACAGTTGTTTTGGCCACGCCTAATGTTTTTGCTATCTCTCTGATGGGTTTGTTTTGTTTTTTCAGTCTAATGATGGCTTGCTTCACTGATAGTGACAGCTCTTTGGATCTCATCTTGAGAGTTGACAGCAACAGATTACAAATGCAAATAGCACACTTGAAATGAACTCTGGACCTTTTATCTGCTCATTGTAATTGGGATAATGAGGAAATAACACACACCTGGCCATGGAACGGCTGAGAAGCCAATTGTCCCATTACTTTTGGTCCCTTAATAAGTGGGAGGCACGTATGCAAACTGTTGTAATTCCTACACCGTTCACCTGATTTGGATGTAAATACCCTCAAATTAAAGCTGACAGTCTGCAGTTAAAGCACATCTTGTTCGTTTCATTTCAAATCCATTGTGGTGGTGTATAGAACCAAAAATGTTAGAATTGTGTCGATGTCCCAATATTTATGGACCTGACTGTATATATAGATTAGTAATCCTTTTAAAATGTATGATGGATTTTAATGTATGATGGTTCTCAACCTCAGCATACATAGAAGATTTCTCCATTTGGCCCTCCCCCATCACTAGGATTAAACTTGATTGGGTGAGGTATGAGTGTGGACAGCTCTGTTTGATTTTCAAGTGAGAACAGGACGGTACAGCTGGGGGAGGAATTGGCCATGACAACCCAGAATCTGAACCTTTAAAGACATGTAAGCAACACCAGCTCCCTAATTTCTATGCCAGCTAGTACACGTTATAGACAATGTTTCAACAGATCATGTTTACTTACAGAATAATACAAAAATATAAAAAAGATTACATGATCTTTTTTATATTGTAACCCTAACTTAAACATACATTCATTGATCACTTACATGTAGGACATCACATTTTCCGAAGTCCTCAAGCTGCTTCTGAAAACCCATATTAGGGTTGGCACACGTCCTTGCCCCTTTAACAGCTGCCAACGCATCTTCCCATTCCAAACTTGTAATTGTCATGACATAAGCTACTACCAAAGTCACACTCCGGGAAACACCTGCCAAGCTTAAAGAGCATAAGATGAGTTAACAAGGTTAATTTTCGTCATAGTAGTTGTCTCAGCTTTAAAACATTCAACTTTAGCTGACCATCAATATAAGAAAAATAAACAAGAGAACAGGAGTGATGTGATTAACTGTATAATACCTGTATGAAGTACTTTGAATACATGTACACTGAAAGCAAGCCAATATCTATATGGCAACAGTGGCCTATCATGACATTCCACTGTCACAGAAAAGACTCACAAAAAGCCTTAGGCCTTATGCGTACTGGGCATTTTCTTTCAGGAGGAAGGCAAGAGGTGCAGCACCCAGCCACATAGCCTGTAAAAGTCTTTGGGAAGCCGTAAGCTGCAGCGACTAGACATGCACCACGTGAAACTAACACTGAGGGCAGTATGCACTAAGGGACAAATGCCAGGAAGGAAAGAAGTGTGCATTCAAGACATTCAGCTGAATGGTGCGCCTGGGCCTTTTGCCTGCATGAAACATGTGCCTTAGAGTTACTAATAGAAAGCTAAACCCTCTGAATTCTTTCTCCATATCGGAAATCTTAGCTACAGTGGGGATCGAAAGTTTGGGCACCTCAGCTAAAAATTTGTATTAATGTGCATAAAGAAGCACATCCTGCGAGATGTTCTGTGTGATATTTTTCTTGGTCTTCCAGATCTTGCTTTAAACTTCCACTGTTCCTGATGACTGCCATTTCTTAATTACATTCCGAACAGAGGATATTGACATCTGAAAACGCTTTGCTATCTTCTTATAGCCTTCTCCAGCTTTGTGAGCATCAACTATTTTCAGTTTCAGTTTTCTAGACAACTGCTTTGAAGAACCCATGGTGCTGATTGTTGGGGCAAGGTCAGATGAGTCTGGGCATTTAAAACCTTTGAGATTGACATAATCTGGTCTTCCCAGATGATGATTGAGAACAATCCATGACACTGGCAGGTCTCAGCTTGGCAAAGTGGGCAGTGCATGCTATAAATTCTGCAGGGTGCCCAAACTTTTGCAGACGCCATTTTTTTGTTTTCTGTTATTTTGAAAGTGTAAATGATGGAAATAAAATCTAACTTTTGTTGACATATTATAAGAATGTCTAATCTGTAATTTGATGCCTTTTGGAGATTTTTCCATCTTTCCTTGGCTTCTTTATGCACATTAATACAAATTTTTAGCTGGGGTGCCCAAACTTTCGATCTCCACTGTACATATATTATATGCAGAAGATCATTATTTCACACTTATGTCCTAAACATTTATCAGGGCTTTGGCATGCAGCTTTCTGATGCTTCCTTATATTTTCATCATCCAGATTAATAGGGCTATAGACATATACCTATTTGCTATAGCAGATTAGTTTAGGAAGGCAGGGCCCTAACATAAGTTAAAGGTAGATCTGTAGTTTAAGTAGTAATTGCCACTTTTACTGTGATTTCTATTCTATATGGTTTACAAAATAAATGCCAAAAAGCAGTCATGGCATTGTTATATCATCAAAGCTGTACATACCAATGAACTAGACAGCCTTCTCCTTTCAGCCGACACTCATGGATGAATGCTGTGCTCTCTTTAAAGTGTTGTATCCTTAGAAACAACATAATAGAAAAGCAATGGTTATAAAAGTATTTAAACATTCCAGGCTGAAAACAGCACTTACGGTATTTACAGTTTATGATTAATAAAGCAGTTTGAAATGTTTTTCCAGACAACGAAGAAACTAGATGAAAATTAAGAGGTGCAGAGCTGTAATGTATGCATATAGACAAAATGCATACCTGCTCAACCCTATCCGTCTTTGATTCTGTGGGAAACCCTATTGTAAGAGAAGTCTTTCTTACTCAGTTCAAGGATAAATGTAGTAAACACTCTGCACTTTATCCCAATTTCACAAATGTAATTGATACAAAAGCAAACAGCATACATAGGATTATCTACGATTGGGTTTCAGCCGTGTAGGGCCTTAACTAGCTTCTAATTAGCATGAATAACCTATAAGTGAGGTTAAAATCACATCTAAAAACATTTTATGTGATAAAGATGTTCCTATCACATCAATACAATAATACTACAAAGTAATTAGCATTAGATCTGTACTATAGCTAAAATCATGCACCAGTATTCACTGTATTGGCAAAGTTAGATCAACAATTGTTTAGGGTAAAAAAAAGGGAGGTCATACAAGTATAGGAATTCATATTAAAATTATATTGTTATATAAATACAGCAGAGAAAATAATAGTTTGATCCTCTGCAGATTTTGTAAGTTTACCAACTTACAAAGAAATGGTCTATAATATTTATCATAGTTGTATTTTAAATTATAGAGACAGAATATCAACCACAAATCCAGAAAAAAAAAACACATGATACAAATGTTATAAATTGAGTTGCAGTTCAGTGAGTAAAACAATTATTTGATCTCCTATCAATCAACAATAATTCTGGCTCCCACAGACTGGCTATGTGCTCATGTGGTACACAGATAAGTGCTGTCAATTTAAGAAGGTGCAATTTAAGAGGATTAAGAATGACAACTCGTTATGTGTATAAAATACATCTCTCCACAAAATCTCTTTCTTCCATTCAAACCTCACCACCATAGGCAAAACCAAAAGTGCTGTCAAAGGATGCCAGGGACAAGACTAGACCTGCACAATGCTGGAATGGGTTACAAGACCATCAGCAAGAAACTTGGTGAGGAGTCAACTGTTGGAGCGATTATTCGCAAATGGAAGAAATACAAAATAACCATCAATGGCCCTCGGTCTGGAGCTCCAAGCAAGATTGCACCTCATGGGGTAAGGATGATCATGATAAAAGTGAGGGATCAGCCCAGAACTACACAGGAGGAGCTTGTAAATGATCTCAAGACAGTTGGAACCACAGTCATCAAACCAACCATTGCTAACACAATACGCTGCCATGGATTGAAATCCTGCAGCGCCCGCAAGGTACCTTTCCTCAAGAAGGTACATGTATAGGCCCATCTGAAGTTTGCCAATGAACATCTAAATGATTCAGAGAAGGATTGGGAGAAAGTGCTGTGGTCAAATGAGACCAAAACTGAGCTCTTTGGCATTAACTCGGCTCACCGTGTTTGGAGGAAGAAAAATGCTGACTATGACCCTATGAATAGCACCCCCACAGTCAAGCACGGAGGTGGAAACATTATGCCTTGGGGCTCTGTGGTTAAGCCCCCAGTGGGCGGGGCAAAACATGTCAGTGGACATGGCCACAGCCGTAACTCCGGCCGAGGCCATCTTACTCTAGGATTCCATGAGTGGTCGGAGCGGCGTCCACACTCATGCAGGAGTTTGAAGACTGGACCTATTTGAGGACACCGCTTACCCTTTCATGACGGTGAGGTGACGTTTCTATGCTCCAGCTTGGAGCGGCGCCAGCACACTATGCACACTAGTCTATTATGCCTTGGGGCTGTTTCTCTGCTAAAGGTACAGACCAACTTTGCTGCATTGAGAGACCAATGGGTGGTGCCATGTAAAATTTTGGATGAGAACCTTCTTCCCTCAGTCAGAACACTGAAGATGGGTCGAGGATGGGTCTTCCAGCATGACTATGACCCAAAACATACCATCAAAGCTACACAGGAGTGGCTCAAGAAGAAGCACATTAAGGTCATGGAGTGGCCTAGCCAGTCTCCATACCTTAATCCTACAGAAAATTTATGGAGGGAGCTGAAACTTCGATCTGGCAAGTGACAGCCAACAAACCTTAAGGATTTAGAGAAGATCTGTAAAAAAGAGTGGACCAAAAATCCTACTGAGATGTGTGAAAACCTGCTAACCAACTATAAGAAACGTCTTACCTCTGTGCTTGCCAACTTAGGTTTTTCCACCAAATACTAAGTCATGTTTTGCTTAGGGATCAAATACTTATTTTACTCACTGAACTGCAACTTAAATTATAATGTTTGTATCATGTGGTTTTTCGGTTGATATTCTTTCTGTCTCTATCATTTAAAATATACCTATGATAAAATTATAGACCCTTAATTTCTTTGTAGGTGGGCAAACTTACAAAATCTGCAGGTGATCAAATAATTATTTTCCCCACTATATACAGTATCTCACAGACATGAGTACACCCCTCACATTTTTGTAAACATTTTATTATATCTTTTCATGAGACAACACTGAAGAAATTACACTTTGCTACAATGTAAAGTAGCGAGTGTACAGCTTGTATAATAGTATAATTTGCTGTACCCTCAAATTAACTCAACACACAGCCATTAATGTCTAAACCAGTGGCAATAAAAGTGAGTACACCCCTAAGTGAAAATGTCCAAATTAGGCACAATTAGCCATTTTCCCTCCCCGGGGTCATGTGACTCATTAGTGTTACAAGCTCTCTGGTGTGAATGGGGAGCAGGTGTGTTAAACTTGGTGTTATCACTCTCACTCACTCATACTGATCACTGGAAGTTCAACATGGCACCTCATGGCAAAGAACTCTCTGAAGAGCTGAAAAAAAAAAAAAAAAGAATTGTTGTTTTACATAAAGATGGCCTAGGCTATAAGAAGATTGCCAAGACCCTGAAACTGAGCTGCAGCACGGTGGCCAAGACCATACAGTGGTTTAACAAGACAGGTTCCACTCAGAACAGGCATTGCCATGGTCGACCAAAGAAGTTGAGTGCACGTGCTCAGTGTCATATCCAGATGTTGTCTTTGGGAAATAGACTCATGAGTGCTGCCAGCATTGCTGAAGAGCTTGAAGGGGTAGGGGGTCAGCCTGTCAATGCTCAGACCATAAGCCGCACACTGCATCAAACTGGTCTGCATGGCTGTTGTCCCAGAAGAAAGCCTCTTCTATAGATGATGCACAAAAAAGCCTGCAAACAGTTTGCTGAAGCCAAGCAGACTAAGGACATGGGTTACTGGAACCATGTCCTGTGGTCTGATAAGACCAAGATAAACTTATTTGGTTTAGATGGTGTCGAGCGTGTGTGGCGGCAACCAGGTGAGGAGTACAAAGACAAGTGTGTCTTGCCTACAGTCAAGCATGGTGGTGGGAGTGCCATGGTCTGGTGCTGCATGAGTGCTATCGGCACTGGGGAATTACAGTTCATTGAGGGAACCATGAATGCCAACAAGTACTGTGACATACAAAAGCAGAGCATGATCCTCTCCCTTTGGAGACTGGGCCGCAGGGCAGTATTCCAACATGAGAACAACCCCAAACACACCTCCAAGATGACCACTGCCTTGCTAAAGAAGCTGAGGGTAAAGGTGATGGACTGACCAAGCATGTCTCCAGACCTAAACCCTATTGGGCATCTGTGGGGCATCCTCAAATGGAAGGTGGAGGAGCGCAAGGTCTCTGACATCCATCAGCTCCGTGATGTCATCATGGAGGAGTGGAAGAGGATTCCAGTGGCAACCTGTGAAGCTCTGGTGAACTCCATGCCCAAGAGGGTTAATGCAGTGCTGAAAAATAATGGTGGCCACACAAAATATTGACACTTTGGGCCCAATTTGGACATTTTCACTTAGGAGTGTACTCACTTTTGTTGCCAGCAGTTTAGACATTAATGGCTGTGTGTTGAGTTATTTTGAGGGGACAGCACATTTACACTGTTATACAAGGTATACACAAACTACTTTACATTGTAGCAAAGTGTCATTTCTTCAGTGTTGTCACATGAAAAAGATATAATAAAATATTTACAAAAATGTGAGGGGTGTACTCGCTTCTGTGAGATACTGTATAGTACATCATAATTAAATTAAATTCCAACTACCAAAACAAAATTATTATTTTACAAAACAGAAGTATATCCAGCGTTGGTTGAGACCATTCAGTATCCTTATTCTGAATCCATGTATCCAAAACACTTTGTGTTCCATAGATTTACTATGCAAATCACCACCTCTATCTGGTAAATTAGTGTAACTCTTTCTATTTTGGAAAAAGCAAAGGAGGACATATCACCGCCCGTGCACCTCAAAAAAGGGTTTGGATATATTCCACAGATGGCAAGCATCAAGGTTGCAGCCACCAACAATGATGTTCACCAATTTCTTAATGGATGAATGGTGCAACCCACATAATGCAAAAGACAATGTTTAAACACCATCAGATCTACTACAAACCAAGTATTACAGTTGATGAACTTCCTAATTGAAAACTGCTCTCCTGACTTGACAAATTTAGTGCTAACATGTACTTTACAATAACAGTATGTTTTAACTTTACATTCATATGAACCTATAACCAACAAAAATGCCCAGGGTCCTCTCTTCCCTCTCCAAAAACTGGGGGACAATGTGAAACCAAAAGTGGATGTCCTGTGGCTTGAGACTTGACATCCCCTACTCATAATTTGATATAAAATTGTTTATCCACATACATACGATTCCTTTTAATTATATTGATGTATTCTTGAACAGCGTTTCAATATGGCTCAGTAAGAAAACATTTGTGTATACATGTAAGGGCATGAATGATTAGACCCTTTGACAATTTCCTTTTTACTCAACATATACAATACATCAGCTGTTCAATACAGGTTTATGAGGTAAGAATGAGAAATGATGGGTTTTAGCTAATTTTTTCTATTGGACATACAAGTTCAGTCTCTTGTCAGGCTGCAGGTGGTCTCCCTCATAGT